ATAGAATAGAATAGAATAGAATAGAATAGAATAGAATAGAATAGAATCTTGATTTATTGGATCTTGATTATTGGATTCAGATACACATTTTTCACTCTGATTCTATCATTAAATGGAGTAAGATCTGTCCAACTAAGATCATCCCAAAGGTGCTGGACTTTCTTGTTTTTCTTTGAAAATATTTTGCTTCTTATCCAAGAAAAACAAGAAAGTCCAGTTGCTTCCTGAAAAAAGCACCTTTGGAATAACCATGACCTGGATGACTGAGAATCTCCATAGGCATGTCTAATTGAGAGTTTGCCCATTAAATCAAGATTTAACTATTACATTGAGATTATTACTACAAACAATAAATTTACATCAATTAGGTATTTAGACATATGAGGCAGCTTGATAAAGTGATATGTTTGAATTTAATGGATGTTCAGATTTAATGGACATTCTCTTCCTGGACTACTTTATTGTTATTATAAAGTTATAGGTATGCCAGTTTGTGGAAGGAATGGATATAAAATAGGAATATTAATTCAAAAACATTCTACAAAAAGGGAGAATGAAAGAATGTGAGGGAGACTTGCAATGGCATTATCTTACGGTAGTTCCCTATCATGTTTTCATTCAGGGTTTGTAGTAGAGGACTTCTAAGTGAAAATCCTCACCTCATTACTGATGGAACCCATCAATTGCTTATATTCTGCTGATAGCGGATTTGTATTGGTCAAGTTCTTGTTGATAATTTTGAAACCAAGCTCATAGCCTACTAGATCTGGAGCTGAATCAGTTGTAGATGGTGAATATCCTAGAAGGAAATAAGAAGCGATCTACTACTTTTTTTCTTTTACTTTCTTTTCCCATTTTATATCAAGCAAATTCAAAGCAGTTAGTGTCATGGCTGCTTCCTTGATTTAATTTTTATTAAGAATGTTGGTTATAACAGTAAAATCTAATACAAAGTAAATTTAATAAAAAGAGTATTCAGAAAAGAAAAAAGTGCTTGGAAAACAAAAAAAAGAAAAGAATATAATAAAGAAAGAGAAAATAAATGTATGAAGGAGTGATTTCCAACCTTCATAACGATATGTTTAAACAAATTTAGTGATTCTTCAACCCTAATAAAGTTATTTTTTGATAAGAATTTTATTAAGAACCAAAAAGCTAATAAAGAGTAAAAAAGCAAAGAAAGACAAAAGCAGGTGTGAAAAAGAAAAGTTTCCAATTTTCTTGGCAGCAAATATAATACAATTACAAAATTGTGTCTTACTCTATATTACAAAAAAGAATATATATATATATATATATTACTGTATTACTTTTTATTATCATTTTTTTTCTAATCAAAACCACAAATCATAAATGCATTTTTTCAGTTGAATGCAAAAAGTCTTGAAGGAATTTCCAGTCACCCATAAATGTAGATATTGGGTTTTTTCTGATCAAAGAAGTTATTATAGCCATCTTCATTAGTTCCATCATCTTCATCATCTTTGCCTTTATTGTGGCTAGTGTAGAATTGTTCCACTTTTAAGCATATAATAATCTTGCTGCAGTTATCATACATAAAACAAAGTTCCGTAGCTTTTTTCTAGTTGCCTATCCATTGGTCCCAAAAGGAAAGTCTCTGGTTTCAGTTTTAACTTTTACAATCTTCTTAATGAATAGTATGTATTTGCATCCAGCTTATTTTACTTTTTTACATGTCCACCATAATGTGATTAAATATGTCCCTTTACATTGTTCACATTTCCAGCAAATATTCAAAGTGCCTTTATACATTCTAAACCGTTTCTCTGCTGACAGATAGCAATGTACATCATTTTATAAAAATTATCTTTGAGATTTGTTGAGGTAATTCCCCGTTAGGAGAATGAGCGCATACAGGGAGACGTATAGAGAGTAGTGTTGGAATAATACACACAGAGCACACAGATACACTGTACAGTAAATGTAGGTTTTTACTTCCAGAAAGGTTTAAGCAAAGTTCAAGATCAGCAGTCCAAAAGTCATTCACAGGTAAATCCGTCAGTTTTTCAATCCAGGGATAATCCAAATATCAAATTCCAGTGTCAAAAACAGTTCAGTATCAGACTTACATTAAATCCAGTAATATCAGTCAATTAGAAGAAATGGAGCAATGGCAATACTTTCCAACAGAAGGAAACAAAGATACACTTACACTCTTCTGAGACTCAGACTAAACAACCCAGGTTTCTGGCTCCATCTTATGGCTGTTTGAGAAACCACACCCAATTGCATGCTCTTGCATTCCCTTAAAGATATAGTACTAAAATATTTATCCTGGTTTATATTTCTAACCCAAATACCTGTTAGGTGATTTATATTCCTAACAAGATTACAACCTAATCTAAATTTCAGCTTGTTAGTCACATATTTTCCCATTGATCCATTTGTACATTGTAGCCAAAAATTTTATCCCATTTTATCATACATCTTCATGTGTTCTTTTTTTGATATTTCATCACAGGTTTGTACATCTTAGCAATAACATGTTCATCATTAATACATAATTATATTTCAAAGTCAGTCTCATATTGTTGAAAACCATTAAAAAATCATCCACCAAAACTTTCTGTTAAGTGTACATAAGAAAGACATTGACAAGAGTATTTTGTTCTCAAATCTTCTCTTGATATCATTTTATAATCCCCTTGTAAAAATTTTAGTACATAGCAAAAAATGAACCACATCATTTCTCTTCTATAAAATGCTTCTTGCACCAAAACCAAAAAGGTGTTTTCAGGCAGAATCTATGTTTATATTTATTCCACATCATAAGAATAGCCCATCTGACATGAGTTCTAAAGTCTACATTCACTTAGCAACATCTTCTTTTATTTGCCCCCTTAATTTTACAAATCTTTCACCCATTCTTTCTTCAAAACCATCAACTTGTTCCTATCTGATAAAATTTATCATTTGTTAAGGAAAGTTTGAAAGTACACACTATGCATCCATTTTTAATTGCTTGACACATTAGGCCAGGTCTATCCTAAACATGAAAGGGTATTTCAAGATTATGACTATTTCTATAAAGTACACCAGCAATTTCAATGTTCTAGGGAATTCTGTATAAAATTTATGTGATGTGATAATCTTCTTTGGGTAGAAATTATTTGCTCTCTAATACAATAACAATAACTCAATGTAAAGTGTCCATCTAGCTTTGCTCATGTTTGCTCATGATCCTGGGGCATCAACCAGAGAAAAGTAAATTTAGAACAGAATTGCCAGCTCTGGACTACAAAATTCCAAATGACCATGAGGTGTCAATAAGCATTGCTGCCATCTAGTAATCACCCAGATTTTTGTAATCCAAATCCAATAGATATATTAAAAAAATTGTGGCCCACTAGCATCTCTTGTTGCTAATCATTGAGACACAACACCATTTAAGTTAAATAATGTTGGTCAGAAGTAATTCAGTGCTGGACAGCCTCAGACATTTTTAGTCACAAAAGCAAAATTATGCTTTCTTACCATTAACAAAAAGGCTGTTTGGATCCAGATTGTACCGTCCCATCTTGGTGAATTGGTTGGTTTCATCTATGAATTTCTGATATATATTGATGGGATCGAAAGTGGGGGCTGTAGCAGCTTTACGATAGCAGCACACACTGTCTACTTCAGTGTACCTCTTCTGATTTACAGATCTGAGAAGCAAAAGATCCAAATAAAAATATATTCACGACAGCTGTACAGATCTTGCAACTACCTGGCAATCTGAAGTATAAAAGGACTTCAATATCAGCTCTGTTGTATTTCAGGACCTATATCCTTGATTCTTATCTTGACACTGCAGCAATTGCAGCAGAGAAGAACACACAGTGAGAGAGAGAGAGACACCCTAAAAGGCCTCTTATTATTTTCAGGCTCTTAAAGGGACAACAGCCAAAAGCCTTGCTGACTCATTCCCATTATTACATCATTGCATCTGCATCAGTGCATATTGCAGCAACTTAGTCAGCTCTTAAATCACTACCCTGACATTTCTTCCTGCCAGTTTGAATATTTAGTTTGCCCATGTTTATTTTCAAGCTCACTTCAAACAAATATTGAAGCAAAGAAATTACAGTATTTGGGGTGACAATGAGGGATCAACTTTTTTAGAATTAAAATGGGGATAATAGTGACATGTTGAAAAAATGAAACTGAAATAAACCATGGGCTCCCTCAAATGTTACAAAATGTTGTGAGAGATATAGATCTCTCACAGAGATATTAGAATCCATTAATTCCCATTCTAAGGCATTTACAGATCACTAAAACATTTCCAACCCATATTGCTTACCTTAATGTTGATAAACTACAGTTGATCAAATCAGGTCCAATGTCACTGTTTTTCAATATATCTCCTAGCTAGGTATAAAGAAAAAACTGTGTAATTATTGCCAATAGTAAAACACTATTGCTGACTATATTATGAAAGTCTTATGTGGAAGAGCTATTGAACTAAGTATGCATTATCTTACCAATTTAACGAAAGATCGTTGTGTTGAGCTGAAAACCTTTGATGTGGGATCAGCCATCTGTGGCCTATATATCAAATTGGTTGCAGTGAAGTTGACCCTAAAACATTCAGTTGCCACTGTAGGTTTGGTGGTGGGAGGAAGAGCTAGAAGAGATACAGGGAATCTCAGATATGGAAACCAGAGATGATGGCACATAATCAATCCATCAATCACTATTTTGTATTTTGCACTTCCTGTCACGAACACAGTGGTGCATAACAGAAGTTTTAGAACGAGTGTATGCTTTTCACAGTTTGAAAGTAACTGTTATTCTTGATCTACTGTGGATCTAGAAAAGGGCAAGAAGCACCAGCAGGGGCAGAGAAGCAAATTGTGCAAAAGAAAGATTGATGGTTTAAGCCTTGAGAACAGAAGACTGCTCAGGACTGTGATAGCCGCTTCCCAAGAATGTAAAGGGTTACTTTGCAGAAGGGCGTTTCCTGTAAAGTCCCAAGAAGCGATATAAATTCACAAGGTAGTTTCTTGATCAGTATTACAGAACAGTTCCTAATGGTCATAATTAGAGTTGGAATATCAGAAATCAGTATCCATTCTTTGTTTAAAGATCTTTACAGAATACACCACTCTGGAGACTGATATGGTACACTGGTGAACACCTTTTACTATCTGGAAAATCTAATATTCAACCTGCTCCTACATCCCTGTGGTTTCCACCCATCACTTGTGGCAAAAGCCTCTACAGCATCTTGCTTTACTTGGTCTGCAATCGGTATATTTTGGACAAGGTTCGACATTTGAGATTGTGTATCACAGTTCAAGTCCATGTTTCATGAAACTTCTGAAAAGCGTACTTACTGGTCTGAGGTGATGCTTCATGATAATCTGAAATGGAAAGAGAGTTTCAGAAATGGAAAGAGTCACCAAAGAAGGCACAAGAGTACACTAAAATGGAAAGCCTCTCTCAAGCTGTCCACCATGAGAAAAATAACATACAATAAATTCCTCCTATACACTTGCAATAATTCCATGTCAACAAATCTCAGATAGTTGGGTTTTAAAATAATCATGAAGTAACTCTATATAAAGTGTCCACCTAGTGGTTGTTTATAAGAAGGTCCTGGGACAGCATCAGAGAAAAATCATCAGGCCTGAATAGCAAAACTCCAAATGACCATGAGGTGTTGCTTCCATGTAGTGGTCATTTAGATTTTAGTAGTGAAAATTTGATATAGCTGAAGAAAGTCTTGTAGCCCTCTGACATCTCTCCATGGGGATCATAGAGAAGAACTACCCTTAACCAGGGGTGGAATTTCTACCAGTTCACACCTATTCGCTAGAACCTGTTGTTAATATTCTAAGCAGTTCGGAGAACCAGCTGTTAGAAGAAATTAATACTGTAAGGAATACTGTAAGGAATACTGTAAGGAAAGCAGGAAGGAAACATTCTGGTGTTGCTTACAGAAACTGCCTCTCTGTTAACCCTTATTACCCTTCCTGCCTCAGGAACTTCTCTGGAGTTTTTTTTCCTCTCCTTTGCTGGTACTTTGCTTGTGTGGAGTGACCATTCAAAGTTACAATGGCACTGAAAAAAGTGACATGACCATTTTTCACACATGACTGTGGGGATGCTGCAACAGTCATGAGAGGCCGGCGAGGAGATGTGTGCCTCGATGCGAGCAATATTGAGCTGGCCACGCCCACCAACTAAGCCACACCCACAGAACTGGCTGTTAAAAAATTTGAATCTCACCCCTGCCCTTAACTTATGTAACATTAGTCAGAACTGATTCAGTGCCAGCCAACCTCATAACCTCTTCAATCAAGAAAACCATCTTCTTCTTACCATTAACAAAAAGGCTGTTTGGGTCCAGAGTGTACCTCTCCATCTTGGTGAAACCATTGGTCTCATTTATGAATTTGTGATATATGTTCACTCGATCAAAAGGTGGAGCTGTGGCATTTTTACGGTAGCAGCAGACACTGTCTATTCCGGTGTTCTTGCCCTGATTCACAGATCTGGGAATGAAAAGACACATCTTGAGATATATTCAGAGAAGCTGTGGAAGACTTGGATGGTTTCACATAGGTAATGTTGCACTTGGATCTACCTGGCAGGCCTAAAAGTAAAAGGTGAGAGCTTCCAGTTCAGAATTTATATGGATCTACTGAATTATTGCAACCTTGACCATTTTGTTCTACGAGTGTGCCACCTCACATTTTTCTTCCCCCTGTTTGGCTATTTAGGATCCTCTCTGGGTATTTCCTAGCTGATTTCATTGTTGAATGGCTCCCTACATTAGAGGGACACAGTTCAGTCACCCTCTTTTTGGAGTTTTTCAATCAGTATTTTTAATCTGGGGTTTCACTTTTGGAACAATTGGAGGAAACTAACCATGAAGCCTCTAGCTAAGTAATAGGAACTAAATTTTGAGCAAAGAAATGGTTTGGGATGAAAATGCGGAAGGGAGTCTTTTAGAGATTTGTATACAATGTGCTCCATTACAGACTGGAACTGAAACAAACTGTGGGTTCGCTCAAATATGATTAAATGTTGCAAGAGTCGTCCCTATATCAGGGCATTTAGGTATCACGGGAAAAAGAATCTCCATCTCGTAATATTTACCTTACTGTTGATAAAGTACAGTTGATCATATCAGGACCAATCTTGCTGGTGCTCAATATTTGTCCCAGCTAGGTTTAAAGGAAAAACTATGTGTTTATTGCTGGTAGTAAAATACTACTGCTGATTATTTTATAAAAATCTTATATGCAAGAGGAGCTGGAGTAAGCATGCATTTGTTTCCTCACCAATTTAGCGTAGATTGCTTGTGCTGAACTGAACAACTTTGACTTGGGATTACTCATCTGTGGCCTATAGATCAAATTGTTTGTAGTGAAGTTGAGTGTAAAGCATTCAGTTGCCACTGGAGGTTTGGAAGTAGGAGAAACAGCTGGAAGATAAATAATGGATCTCAGATATGGAAGCCAGAATTGATGGTATATAATCTGTCCATCAGTCACAGTTCAGTGGTGCTTTACAGATGTTTAAGAACAAGCTTATGCTCTTCTCAGTTTGAAAATAACAGTTATTCTTGATCTATTGGGGTCCAGAAAAGGGCAAGAAGGATAAGCGGATAGGTTAATCCTGGAGAACATAGGCCTGAGCAAAACTATTGTAGCACTTTTCCAGAATGTAAAGGGGTACTATACAAAAGGACATGGCCTGTTCTATAAATTCTCAAGATGAACAAGCCACATTCTTGTTCGATGTTATAGAACAACTCCCAACGGTCATGGTTTTAAGTTGGAATATAGAAGTCAGTATTGACTCTCTTTTTGAAAATCTCTGTGGAATACAGCACTTTGGGAATTGACATGGTCCACTAGTTGACACCTTTTACTGTCTGGAAAATCTTCTCAATATTTCACTTACTTCTATATCCCTAGGGTTTCCACAGATCATTTGTGGCAAAAGCCTCTAGGGCATACTACTTTACTTATTCTGAAATTGGTACATGTGGGACAATGTTGGAGGTTTTAGATTGTGTAGCACAGTTGGAATTTATGGCTCAAGAAACTTCTGTAAAGGTGTACTTACTGGTTTGAGGTGATGCTTCATGATAATCTGAAAGTGAAAGAGAGTTGTAGCAATTGAAAGAGAATTACAAAAGAATGCACAAGCATACAATGATTTAGGAAGTTGCTCTCAAGCTCTTCACCATGAGAAAAATAAAGTACGATAAATTCTTCCTACATACTTCCAACTACTCCATGTCAAGAAATCTCAGATAGTGGGGTTTTGAATTATCCTGAAGGCCCCCAAATAGCAGCAGTCTTTAGTTTAAATAGGCCACTGTGAGCTAACTCTATATAAAAGTATCCACCTATTCCAATGATTGCTTGTAGAATGTCCTGGGACACAGTCAGAAAAAGTCATCAAGAACAACAGAGCCAGCATGTCTGGAATGCAAAACTCCAGATGACCATGAGGTGTTAATATATACTGTTGCCGTCTAGTAGTCATTAGATTTTTGTACGCTGAAGTTGGTAGACCTAAAGAAAGTCTTAAGCACTCTGGCATCTCTCCAAGGTGTCACAGAGAGGAACTATCACTTAAGTTACATAACATTGGTCAGATCCAGTTCAGTTCTAGGCCAACCTCACAACCTTTTCAACATGAAAGCCATTTTCTTCTTACCATTAACAAAAAGGCTGTTTGGGTCCAAGTTGTATCTCTCCAGCTTGGTGAAACCATCGGTCTTATTTATGAATATGTGATATATATTCACTCGATCAAAAGGTGGAGATGTGGTATTTTTACGGTAGCAGCAGACACTGTCTACTCCAGTGTTCTTGCCCTGATTCACAGGTCTGAGAATGAAAACACACAACTTAAGATATATTCCGAGAAGCTATAGAGGACAGTAATTAGAATGCAGTGCTTGCCGGATGCCTGCAATTTGGCAGTTCAAATCTCACCAGGCTCAAGATTGACTCAGCCTTCCATCCTTACAAGGTGGGTAAAATGAGGACCCAGATTGTTGGGGGCAATATGCTGGCTCTGTAAAACTGCTTTGCGAGGGCTGTAAAGCACTAAGAAGCAGTATATAAGTCTAAATGCTATTGCTATCTCACAGAGGTAAGGTCACATTTGGATCTACTCGGAAGATTGAAATGTAAAAGGTGATGTCTCCCAGATCAGACTTAATACAAACCTGCTAAATTATTGAAAACTTTATCATTTTGTTGACACTGGTTTGTTCCATGTCACATTTTTCATCCCCCTTATTTGACTATTCAAGATCCCATCTAAGGTATTTCCTAGCTGATTTCATTCTTGAATGGCTCTCTGCATTACGGGGGCACAGTTCTATCACCTTTTTGGAGTTTTTCAGTCAGTATTTTTAATTCGGTGTTATTAAATTTTGAAATTCCACTTCAAACCTAATTTGGGGGAGACATGGAGGAAGCTAACCAGGGAGCCTCGAGTACAGTGATAGGAACTGAATATTGAAGCAAACAAATGATTTGGGATAAAAATGCATGAAGGAATCGTTTAGAGATTTGTATAACAATGTGATATGTTACAGACCGGAACTGAAACAAATTATGGGTTTGCTCAAATATGACTAGATGTTGCGAGAGGTCATCCCCATAATGGAGCATTCAGGTAGTATGAAAAAAGTCTCCATCCCATGTTACTTACCTTAATGTTGATAAACTACAGTTGATCAAATCAGGACCAATCTTGCTGGTCTGCAATATCTGTCCCAGCTAGGTTTAAAGGAAAATGGTATATTTATTGCTGGTAGTAAAATACCGTTGCTGACTATTTTATAAAAATCTTATGTGAAAGAGCAGCTGGGGTAAGCATGCATTTGTTTCCTCACCAATTTACAGAAGACTCCTTCTGCTGATCTGAACAACTTTGACTTGGCATTACTCATCTGTGGCCTGTAGATCAAATTATTTGTAATGAAGTTGAGTGTAAAGCATTCAGTTGCCACTGGAGGTTTGGTAGTGGGAGAAACAGCTGGAAGAGAAATAATGGATCTCAGATATGGAAACCAGAATTGATGGTATATAATCTATCCGTCAAGCACTATTTAGTATCTTGCAGTTCCTGTCGTGAACACAGAGTTCAGTGATGCTTTACACATGTTTAAGAACAAGTATATGCTTTTCACAGTTTGAAGTTAACTCTTATTCTTCATCTATTGTGGGTCGAGAAAAGGGCAAGAAGGATGAGCAGAAGCTAGAAACCAAGTTGTGCAATAGAAAATTGATGGGTTAAGCCCAGGAAGAAGCCTGAGCAGGATTATGGTGGAATAATGTAAAGGGGTACTATACAAAGGCTGTGGCCTGTTCTGTAAATTCCCAGGATGCACAATAAATTCACAAACCAGATTCTTGTTCAATGTTACAGAAAAAAATCCTATTGGTCATAATCAGAGATGGAATATCAGAAATCAGTATCCACTCTGTCTGAAGATCTCTAGTGAACACACCCCTTTGGGAAGTGAGATGGTGCGCTGATTGAAACCTTTTACTCTCTGAAAAATCTTCTAATATGCAACCTGCTCCTACATCCCTATGTTTCCACTCATGGCTTGTGGTAAAAGCCTCTAGAGCATACCGCTTTACTTGCTATGCAATTGGTACATATGGGACAAGGTTGGACTTTTTAGATTAGATACCACAGTTGGGGTCCATGGCTCAAGAAACTTCTGTAAAGTGTACTTACTGGTCTGAAGTGCTGCTTCATGATAATCTGAAATGGAAAGTTTCAGAAATGGAAAGAAAGTCACAAAAGAAGGCACAAAAAGACACTAATATGGGAAGTTGCTCTCCAACTCCCCACCATAAGAAAAAGAAGATACATTAAATATCTCCTACATACTACCAACTATTCCACATCAATGAATCTCAAATAGTAGGATTGTGAATTATACTGAAGGTTCCCAAATACAAGCAGTGTTTAATTAGGCCACTGTAAATTAAAGTATCCACCTAGTCCAATGATTGCTTATAGGAAGGTCCTGGGACAGTGTTAGGGAAAAATCAACCAGAAGAACAGAGCCAGCATGTCTGGACTGCAAAATTCCAAATGTCCATGAGGTGTTAATAAACACTGCTGCCCTGTTACAGTCATCTAGATTTTTGTAGCCTGAATTTGGTAGAGCCAAAGAAAGGCTTGTAACCCTCTGGCATCTCTCCAAGGTGTTGTAATCAGGAACTATCAATTAAGTTACATAACATTGGTCAGAACCAATTCAGTTCCGGCCAACCTCATAACCACTTTAGTTATGAAGCCATTTTCTTACCATTAACAAAAAGGCTGTTTGGGTCCAAGCTGTACCTCTCCATCTTGGTAAAACCATTGGTCTCATTTATGAATTTATGATATATGTTCACTCGATCAAAAGGTGGAGCTGTGGCTTTTTTATGGTAACAGCAGACACTGTCTATTCCGGTGTTCTTGCCCTGATTCACAGATCTGGGAATGAAAAGACACATCTTGAGATATATTCAGAGAAGCTGTGGAAGACTTGGATGGTTTCACATAGGTAATGTTGCACTTGGATCTCCCTTGCAGGCCTAAAAGTAAAAGGTGAGAGCTTCCAGTTCAGAATTTATACGGATCTGCTGAATTATTGCAACCTTGACCATTTTGTTGACACTGGTTTGTTCTACGAGTGTGCCACCTCATATATTTCTTCCCCATTTGACTATTTAGGATCCTCTCTGGGTATTTCCTAGCTGATTTCATTGTTGAATGGCTCCCTACATTGGAGAGACACCGTTCAATCACCCTCTTTTGGGAGTTTTTCAGACAGTATTTTTAATCTGCTGTTATTAAATTTTAAATTCCACTTCAAACCTAATTTTGGGAAGCCATAAGGAAGCTAACCAGGGAGCTTCCAGTACAGTGATTGGAACTCAATATTGAAGCAAAGAACTGATTTGGGATAAAAATGCACGAAGAGACTTTTAGAGATTTCTATTTCAATCTGATATGTTACAGACTGGAACTGAAATAGATTATGGGTTCTCTCAAATTTGACTAGATGTTGCGAGAAGTCCATATCAGAATCGTTTCATCCCCATAACAGGATATTTGTGTCACGAAAAAAAAATCTCCATCCTATATTACTTGCCTTAATGTTGATAAAGTACAGCTGATGAAATCAGGACCAATCTTGCTGGTCTTCAATATCTGTCCCAGCTAGGTTTAAAGGAAAAATGATGTATTTATTGCTGGTAGTAAAATACTACTACTGATTATTTTATGAAAAACTTATGTGGAAGAGCAGCTGCGGTAAGCATGCATTTGTTTCCTCACCAATTTAGCGTAGATTGCTTGTGCTGAACTGAACAACTTTGACTTGGGATTACTCATCTGTGGCCTATAGATCAAATTGTTTGTAGTGAAGTTGAGTGTAAAGCATTCAGTTGCCACTGGAGGTTTGGTAGTGGGAGAAACAGCTGGAAGAGAAATAATGGATCTCAGATATGGAAACCAGAATTGATGGTATATAATCTATCCGTCAAGCACTATTTTGTATCTTGCAGTTCCTGTCATGAACATGGAGTTCAGTGATGCATTACCAAAGTTGAAGAACAAGAATATGCTTTCCACAGTTAGAAGTTAACTGTTATTCTTGATCTATTGTGGGTCCAGAAAAGGGCAAGAACGACAAGCAGGGGCTGGAAATCTAATCGTGCAATAGAAAATTGATGGGTTAAGCCTGGAGAACAGAGACCTGAGCAGGATTATGGTAGAACTTTTCAATAATGTAAAGTGTACTTACTGGTCTGAGGTGATTCTTCATGATAATCTGAAATGGAAATAAAATTGCAAAAAATGGAGTCAACAAAGAAGGCACAAGACCACACTAAAATGGGAAGACTCCCTCAAGCTCTTCACCATGAGAAAAATCAGATATGATAAATTCCTCCTACATACTTCCAACTGCTCCATGTCAAAAAGTAGGGTTGCAAATTATTTAAGTAGGCCACTGTGAACTAACTCTATATACAGTGTCCATCTAGTCCAATGATTGCTTTTAAGAAAGTCCTGGGACAGTATCAGGGAAAATCATCCAGAAGAACAGAGCCAGCATTCTGGACAGCAAAACAAATAACCATGGGGTGTTAATAAACACTGCTGCCCTGTTATGGTCATGTAGATTTTTGAAGCCCAAATTTGGTAGAGCTAAAGAAAGTCTTGCAGCCCAATTGCATCTCCCTGCTGACACAGACAGGAATTATTGCTTAAGTTACATAACATTGATAAGAACTAATTCAGTGCCAGCCAACCTCATAAACTCTTTAGTCATGAAAGCCATCTTCTTCTTACCATTTACAAAAAGGCTGTTTGGGTCCAGGTTGTACCTCTCCAGCTTGGTGAAACCATTGGTCTCATTTATGAACTTATGATATATGTTCACTCGATCAAAAGGTGGAGGGGTGGCATTTTTACGGTAGCAGCAGACACTGTCTATTCCGGTGTTCTCGCCCTGATTCACAGGTCTGAGAATGAAAAGACACATCTTGAAATATATTCAGAGAAGCTGTGGAAGACTTTGGATGATTTCACATAAGTAATGTTGCACTTGGATCCACCTTGCAAGTCTAAAAGTAAAACGTGAGGGCTTCTAGTTCAGAATTAATACAGTTCTGCTGTATTACTGCAGCTTTTATGATTTTGTTGACACTGCTTTGTTCCACAGGTGCGCCACCACACATTTTTCTTCCCTCTGGTTTAACTATTCAGGATCGCCTGTAGGTATTTCCTAGCTGATTTCACTCTTGAATGGCTCCCTACATTAGAGGGACACAGTTCTACCACCCTCTTTTTGGAGTTTTTCAAACCGTGTTTTCAATCTGGTGTTTCATTTGAATTCCACTTCAAACCTAATTGTGAGAAGTAGTAGAGGAAGTTCACCAGGGAGCCTGTAGTGAAGGGATAGGAATATTGAAGCACAGAAATGGTTTGGGATAAAAATGCGGAAGGGTGTCTTTTAGAGATTTGTATATCAGTGTGATACGTTACAGACTGGAACTGAAACAAACCATGAGTTATCTCAAACACAACTAGATGATTCAAGAAGTTCATTTTAGAATCCTTTAATCCCCATAACAGGGCATTTAGGAATCATTAAAAAAAAAATCTCCATTCCATATTACTTACCTTAATGTTGATAAAGTACAGCTGATGAAATCAGGACCAATCTTGCTGGTCTTCAATACCTGTCCCAGCTAGGTGTAAAGGAAAAATGATGTATTTATTGCTGGTGGTAAAACACAATTTCTGATTATTTTATGAAAATCTTATGTTAAGAGCTAATGGGGTAAGTATGCATTTGCCTCCTCAGCAATTTACATAAAAGAACTTGTCTTGGTTTAATGAAAAAACTACGTGTTTATTGGCAATAATAAAATACTATTGCTGAGTTTATTATGAAAGTCCTAAATTGAGAGCTATTGGACTAAGTGTGCATTGATCTTCTTACCAAATTAACGAAGAATCGTTGTGTTGAGCT